GTAACATCAAGTTGTTCTCATTTTAAAATAAATGTTAGTTAACGACACAATGGAAATAGAACAAAAAGTGAAGGTGTTTTTATTGTTACTGTTACAATTGACTCTCTTCGTGAAGTATATAGGCTAATTTTTCTTTTCGAATTTCCTCAAAAATATCTGATTTCAAATTAATTAGCAAAATATCTTCCAATAATTCGTTTGATATATTGCCACGGCGTTGAGAAAAGATAAACTCTAGTGTTGAAAAATCTCGTTCTATTTGCACTTCTGTCGGTGGTGTAGCATACAAAACACTAGCAATTTCATACAATTTTGAGCTATTTTCCTTTTCAAGTTCCCAATAATTGAGAATTGATCCGTTGAGGTCAAGATGTTTTGGTTGAAAAGACTCGATGATTGTTTTAATATCACTTCCAGTGGTGCTTTGTTCAGATTGTGTCGGCAATTCAAGCGATTCATTTGGTGTTGTTGACAATGAATTTCGTTCCAAATATTTTTTGAGTCGACCTGGACTGTCAAAATCATCGTTTACGACACGTTCACTGGATACTGACATGATGATGGAATTTTTTGGACTAGTTGTTTCGCTTACTGCGTTTTTTATTTCTTGAATGCGGCAATACAAGTTTGATAAAAATTCTATGGCTCGTGAACATTTTTCTTCATCTCTCGTGATTTCAGATCGGAAACGTGGATCGAGATACAATGAAGATTGTAAAACGGGATTAATAAAAATTGTCTTCTGTCTTTCCTTTATAGCTTCGTATAAACATGCACCAAAACCTGTTCGCACTTTTCTTGAGAAAGCTTGCAAATAAAGTCGCATTTTAGTCCAAATACCGTATGCATCCGATAAAGTCAAATCCTCCCTTTGTAGTTGAATGGTTCGTTTGAATGGATCTTTAAGAACTAACATCAATTCTACCAAAGTGTTCCACTTGTGCAAAAGTAGTTGACATGACTTATGTCCTTTCATTCCCAAGTGCTCAACATTTGCCTTTCGATCAACTATATCAGACATCTTTTATACATTCAAAGAGACACATTTAAAAATTATTAGTTTTGTCAACTGAAGAAAATTAACAAAGTTAATATTTTGAGTATTCGGCTACATAAAAAATTAAGTCAAGTGAAAATATACCATCATGTACAAAGATCCCCAGCGTGTTGCTACTTCAAGACGTGGCTTGACATGTTTCAATCCATTATTTCTCAGTTCATGCATCGTTGAATCCAATCTGAGGTACACAGCGACTTTTTTGCATAATTTCATTACATTTCGATCTGATTGCGATGTTGCTTTGATACCATCCTTTATACCTAGTTGAAGTGTGTGATCGGCACAGTTTACGCCATTTACATTCCAAATGACGTTAACTCCAGCGTTATTGAGATTTTCAGTAATTACAGAAAGAAGTGTTTCATTCTCTTCAATAGCAGCTTCATTTGGTTCATCATCGGCATCACGAAATAAAATATCTAATGCCTCGTCGTCCGACATTTCGTTGAGTGCCAAATATTCTTCGATTTCTTGATCAATTCCTTCATCGTTCATATCATTACGATTTGTCGCCGTGACTACTCTGACCAATGTTTCATTTCGGCTCTGATCAACTGTATTTTGCAATTGTTCTTGCGCCGTTGTCAGTTTGCGCCGTTGTCAGTTGTTATGGTTACTATTTGTCGAAGGTCGATGCTGAATTCACTGAATCTTTTGCATATCACATCAGCTAAGTAAACGCCAGTATGCGATTCTTCAAGTTGGATGACACCAATTGATCGATATGTGTGTTTTCCATTTAGTATATACTGTATGCCGAAGCCCAAAAAAGAACGGTTACGTTTCAAAACAGCGTCAACAATCAATGATACTGCACGATTTTTAACATCTGATGTAATCTTCTCACGAGTTTTTTGCGCAATATCACGTAACAGGTCTTTGACTTCGTCCAAATTTTTGCTTTGCAAATGTACTTCGCGACCGGCATTACGAAGTTCGTTCAAAGTGCGCTGGTTCATACGGAGAATCGCAGTATCATAAATATTTGAAAATGCGCGCCCATTAACTGTTACAAGCTCTACGCACTTTAATAACAAATCAAGCCGTTTTTGTTCAATAGAATCGCTCACATTTTACATTTACGCGTAAACATCACTATGATTTTTTAAATGAGACACCAAATTGCTTCTTTTTGTCCCATCACGTTCTTCTTTACAATGAACACACTTATATTTCTTTTTGCCATCTTCTGTTCCACGTAAGAATTCAAAATGTTGAATCGCTGCCTTTGTTTTATTCATTTTTCGTTTCTTCGCCAAAGGTTCCATTTTTCTCAGTATAGCAACTTACTTTAAATTCGACAAGATTTGTGATTTGACTTCTTACTTAAATCGCGCCAAAACCCAAATTAATATGAACCAAATACCAGACGTACTGGCGACACGGTTATGCTATAAGTTGCATTTGTAATCGATTCTACGGTGACCACACATATACATGTATACATAGCAGCCTTCAAAGGGTTTCAATAATATTTGAAATCGATTGTTTCAAGTCTGTATTAGTGTTTAAAAATTGCTTAATTTAGCACTATCTCATATTGGACAAGCAACAGTTTTGTGATTGTTTTCGGATGTATTTTATTATGCTCAGAACATCCACTCCAAGCCGTTTGATAGTTGCGGCATAATTTTAGAGCACCATTTTATGGAGAATCCCATCCATTCCCTTTCAATGAGCAAATATGGTATAAGGTTTTAAACATGAAAAACAATTAATAAACGATGAGCAAATCTAAGCATACACAAAATAGATGTGGTTGTGGTAGTAAAACAGCGACTATTCGCAAAATGAATATCACACGCATTAGACATCTCATGACAAAATAAATGATCAAATGATTTATTGAAATTGATTCTTCTTATTTATTTATTTTTTAGTCAGTGGTATATCACAAATGACAATTATCAATTCTTTAAAATTATTCTAAAGTAGAATTTAACTAGGAAATCTTTTAATCTTTTTAATTTTTTATGTTTTCAAATCTAATAAATATACTAAAAATTTGTACTCAATTTGTACTTTCTCAATGTACCAAATTGTTTTTGAAAATGTACTAAAAATGTACTAAAAAGCAAAAAAATATTTTTTATGCAGATCAAAACGATTGTTTGATGACTATTTTGAAACGGCCTATATATGTCAATTTTAATTGCTAGGTGTACAATCAATATAAAATATTGTTCAATTAAAAATAGTGAGTGAATCGGTAAGAACAGAATTTGAAACTTGGCTGATAAAAATATTTTTTTTGGGGCAATTGTATATGGGCGCTATTTTTTAAACTAATTTAGTATTTTTCTGTTTTCATATTGGATTAAAAAAATGTGATATTCCGCAATTGATTCACAAAAAATTATTTTTATGGGCAATTTTAAAATAGACCATTTTGCGATCCAATATAAAAACAGAGCAATATTGAATTGGATGAAAAATGTTTGTCCAATGTTTCTCACAAAAATTATTTTTATTAGTCAATTCTGAATCGGACTAGAAAAATGTGCCATTCGGCTCATATTTATAAAATCGATATACAAAAATGTGCTATTTCACAATTGGCCAACGGAAATAATTTTTGTAAGCCAATTGTGAAATAGCACATTTTTGTATATCGATTTTAGAAATATT